GAGCGCGTTCCAAAGACGAATTGCATGAAGGGTAAAAGAATTAGACAAAAAATCAGTGCGATGAGAAGGAATGGAAAGCTTAAGGCTACGGGAAGATCGAAATTCGCAACCCGGCCGAGCGTTTTGAAATTGAAATGAACATTTAAGATAATCAGGTGCAGCCGGGTCGAACAAGATGGAGAAAAGAGTGGTTAAAATTCTTAAGGACCTGCGTTCACGGATGGGAAGCCAATTTAGTTGACGACGACAAGCAGATATATGGTCATACTTCCGCAGACCAAAAATAAACCTAATGCAGTTGTTAAGAAGACGATCTAATCTATTCAAAAAGACTTGAGAGATGTTACTGTAACACACGTCAGCATAATCAATCACAGGCAACACTAGAGCTTGAACAAGGAGAGTTTTGGTTTTAATTGGAAGAAAGTTCTTGAACCTGTATAGAGCTCTTAGTGTATCTGTAACCCTACGACAAACGTCAGATACCTGGGAATCCCACGTAAGGCCTGTGTCAATAATAAGCCCCAGGTTCTTTACCTGATTTGACAGAGGAATCACTACGTTCTCATACATTATTGGTGGCACGCACGACAGATCACAAGACGAAAAAAGGCGTGAGCTTCCAAGGATGATGGCTTGACACTTGGAAGGGTTGACATTGATACCAAACCTTTGGGACCAAACCGAGACGCGATGAAGGTCATCATTAATTAATACAATTGCATCACTTATGCCACCGACATTAACCTCGGTATAAAGCTGCAAGTCGTCGGCATACAGGTGGTAAGAACATTTGATGCTGGACGTAATCAGATTTATGAAAATAGAAAACAAGAGAGGAGAGAGAATTCCGCCCTGAGGTACCCCGGAAGTGAGTTTACACCATTCTGAGAACGAGCGATCAATACGAATCGCTTGTTGGCGATCGCGGAGATAAGAAGAGAACCATTGAGCTGCCATTGAAGAGATGTTTAGGTGGTCTAAGGTAGCAAGGAGAAGGTCATGATCCACGACGTTGAATGCATTGGAGAAGTCAATTAGGACCAGCACAGTAAGTAGAGTACAGTCCATGCCCCTCCTTACATCCTCAACAATCTTTAGCAATGCAGTAGAAGTACTATGACCTGGTCGAAAACCTGATTGAAATGGAGAAAGGATATTGTTTGAGTAAACATAGGCAGACAATTGTTTGTGAACGACAGCCTCTAAGACTTTAGAAAGAAAAGGAAGAATTGAGGCTGGGGTTAGTAACTTTTGGAAGAGGGATTACATGAGCATTTCGCCACAGAGAAGGAAAAGCCCCAGTCATCATCGAGAAATTAACTACGTGCGTGATAATAGGGAGTATACATTCTAAAATACACATAACCATAATTCTACTTACGTCATCGTGCCCAACAGCATTAGATTTGATTGACAAAACCATTTTCCTGACCTCATCTTCAGTTACTGAGGTGAAAATAAAAACAGAATTTGAAATTTTGGGCAGTGCTCTAATAAATACAATACTTTGCTGTTTGGTGTTGGTGTCTAAAGTTGCAGTTTTGGCAAAGTGAGTATTCAGCTCATTTAAGGAGAAGGAAGAAGTTATATTGTACGAACTTTGCGGTTTACCTACACCAATAGATTTTAGAAATTTCCAGGTGTTAACGGGGGAAGAATGTAAAATATTTTCATAAATATGTTTACGTTTGGCTGCTCTTACCATCTGATTACACCTATTTCTTGCAGCTTTAAAACGGAGCCAATTTTCCTCACATCGGTCGCGCTTGTATTTTCTAAACGCACGATCTCGTCTTGTCATTGCAATACGGACTGCTCGAGTTATCCATGGCGCAGGAGGGCGCTTTAGTTTGACAGATCGAATTGGCGCGTGAGTGTCAAAAAGTTTCAGAACTGCGGAGTTTAATGAAAACACCGCCTCATCTACTGTTGATGCTGACAACGTAGGGCCCCAATCAAAAGCCTGCGCGTCCTTTTTTAACACTTCCATGTCAAGTCTCGCGAAACTACGTAGTTGAATTGTAGCAGGCTGGGCCTTAAGTGGTTTAATTTTGTAGCTCAAATAAATGAGGTCATGTCGTGAAAAACCTGGTGCCAAAAATTGTCCAGCCTTACCCACGTGATCAATAGAGGAGGCAAGTATAAGATCTAGCCAGGTATCCGACGCGTCTACGTTGTGATGAGTAGGCTCAAGAGGTAGAATGGTTAAAGCTACAGATTCAATCACTGCTTTCAAAGTGCGAGCTCTCATGCTGTCTTTCACGAGGTCTGTATTAAAATCGCCCATGATTATTTGATGAGTGTATTCAGTACTAAGAGATGAGAGTAAAGTTTCGAACGAAGAGAAGTAATCTATAGAAGGAGGACAATACACAACCCCTAGAGCCACTTTTATACCCTTTACCTTGATCTCGATGAGCAAGTGTTCCAAAGAACTGGAGTATAGAGAGGGAGAAGAAGAAAGAATTTTGAAAGGAACGTCATTACGGATGTAAATGGCAACGCCTCCGCCACCCTTTCCCGTGCGGTCATTGCGAAGTAATATGAAACCAGGAAGACTAAAAGATGTAGAAGCAAGGTTTGGTTTAAGCCATGTTTCTGAAATCAGAATAGCATGAATATTAGAAGAGGAGAAAGTATCAAGTAGGTCATTATAGTGGCTAGGGATGCTTTGGGCATTTATATGACAGACGTTTAGAAAGTTCGTGAAGTTTTGGAATTCGCGCGTTAATGAATCGCCAAGGGTAGCAGTATTATGAAACTCAGATTCTGAGCTATCAATAGAAAGAAAAGACGAAGGCGAGTTGCAAGCTGAGTAAAAAGAGTCATCATCTGACATTACGTGTTGCGTAGGTATAAATAGACGTATAATAAATAAATATTAATTGTATAAAAAATAATACTTAATATAAAATAAATTTAATAAAATATAATAATATATAAAAAAAAGTTTCGAAGTATGGGTTCTGTGTAACCCACCAGTCGACCGTAAATTAAAAACTATAAGACTTTAAAACATAAAACAAGTTACATTGGTTATCGGCCCGCCGCCAGTAAACAAAAAAAAAAAAAAAGCATTCCATGAACAATTTCTGAACGCAACCGAACTACTACCAGCTGTCAAAATCAAAAACAAAAATAATCAAATTTTTACAGAGTGTCTAGCCTACCTTAATTACTTTTGTTGAAATTAAAAAATGAAACAAACCTACCTTACGTAAATAATTAAAATTAAACTTTCATCGTGTCGGTACCTAAGTTGTTACAACTAAATAGAATGAAATGAACACAAGATTACAGGTTTGAATAGAAGGTTTCAAAGATATGTGGAAAACTAAAGGGAATCTGTATTTATGTACAGTTCGGCTGCGATTCGAAGTTAAAAAAGAAAATGACGGGCACATTACAAACTACACAAAGTAACAATATATAATTAAGAAAGTTATTAAATTTCTCGCCGAGCTCGACGCTCCCCCACCTTCTTTGCGGCTCCCTTTGGCGGACCAGCCGGCGCTGGCGCAGCAGTCGCACGAGACACGGTGGATGCCGGAGTCGTCACAGGGGCATGCGACGCAGTTAACACACCCAGTTGCTCGGTGGTGGTCAGGCGGTGTTTCTTACCGCTTGGCAGCTTCACATTAATGTTCCCATCAGCAGTCCAGACATTACGCATTCCGAAATGCCTACGCGCTGCAAGGAACACCGCCTGTCTCTGTTTTGTCAAAAACTCGGTGACCACTATGGAAGAGCCCTTCAGTGCAGTTTTCTTTGACCACACAGAGTTACGCATGTCCAGCTCAGCAAACCTCACCAGTACATGTCGAGGCCGGCCCTCAATAACCCCCCCAAGTCTGTGACAAGCAACAATGGACCTGCGAGTACTATCCTCTTTAATAAATTTATTTGGCGTGCTAATTATGATTTTTTTTTGTTTTATTTGATTATAGTTTTAAATATCTGGTATCCGGCCGGATATTGTTCTTCTTTCCGGTATTCGGCCGAATAGTGAAATTAGGCCGGATATGCCGGATATCGGATAGTTACTGGATATCAGTTTCATCTCTAGGTAAAATATAAATATGCCGAGTTAAAATCTATTGCTAAATCTCCGGTCAACGACAATTCTGAAATGACACTTTCCGCGGGTGATCTACGCATTAATCATTCACTACCTAATATTAATTTAAATTTTATAATATGATTGCAGATACGGTACCCACGATGACATCCAGCGCATATTCTTCATTCTTGCTTGTCACACCACGAATCATATCTCAGACGATAGTGGACGCGTCGCGCGTGACTACGACATTCGGCCCACCCGAGAATCACCGAATAAAGTTCACCACACTGGGGTGGCGACCTACGACGCCGGTGTTTGTCAATTCAAATAAAACTTTTTTTTCTTTGGCTGCAAGCCATAAAACATGGACATCTAAAAGTCTAGAAACGTTTAACAAAACTGTGAGTCCTAAGATATTAAAAAACACGGTAAGCACCGTAATTTTCGGGACATTCGACAACCCTCACGGCTTAAGGTCCAGAAGTCTTGGAACTTTCTCGGATTCTAGATTACAACATCTTGGTGGATTAAACCGTTCAAACGATCCTAAAAATCGTGGCGGCTCAAAATATTTTAGAGGTGATCATAGCACTACAGATACCAGTGATTTCAAAAATGTCCGAAGTTATCACATTGGCCAAACCAGAAAGTCTGGAAACTTTGTAAGTTCCAGTTATCGGATAACTCTTAACAAACATCGTGGAGACATTAAAGCAAGTTCCGCAAGCGCTATAGGGAACTATGCTGCCGGCAGTACACTCGCTGAACTCAACGGAATAGCATTTGTCAAAGTTTCGAAGTTCCTGCAAAACTTTTCGACGGATTTCACGCGACAACAGTCAGAAAAAGTTAAAAAAAGTTTAACCAGAAATTTTAAAATTACAAAAAATACAAACAAAATTGTTGATGTTTCGAATCCAAAATCGAAAGGCTCGGGATTAAAAAGTTCTTTTTCAAATCTTAAATTAAACACACAGTTTTATTCTAAACAGAAGAGAATAAAAATGTATGGTGATGGTTTTCAAAGACTTAAACAAAAATTGGAAATCTCTAACGACAGTACGAAACAAAGTGCGGGACAGTATGAGGAGCGCGCTTACCAAACGAAAACGGGTGATGCATTATCGACGGGGCATACCTTAGTCCCGCGAGGTGGCGACGACCGGCACCTCTCCTCTGACTACACAAAGTCGTTCGTATCCGATGCACAGCAGCATCGTAAAGCCGAATATACGGGCCACGCGCTTACGTCGATTAAAGGTACTTATTAACAAATAGTAGAGGCGTGCAATTCCAGAGAGAGAGAGAGAGATGAAAGCATGCATTTTTGTACATTTTTATAAGTTTCTCAGATTCATCAACGTAATCGTCATTGTGACGAATGGGTCGCCTGCAACAGGCTAACAGCCGCTATATGTATATGTGTATGCTAATGTTCCGTTATTTTCTTTTGTTGCTATATCTATCACAAGAACGTTGGTTGCACTGTATACCCATTATTCAGACTGACAAAAAGCTAAAACAGTGCGATTGGAAAGAGCTACGACACGGTTGCGTTAAACAATAACAGTTAACGTAAAGTAAACAAAAGAGCAAGATGTGCAGTTCGATACAGCGCGTCTTGCATTCCTAGACTCGCTTAAAAGCGGTAAACCGCAACAGACACATTGCCCACCCAATTTATTAATTTAACCTTTTTTGCCACCGCGATGTACGTCGGTATCTAAGAAGTATGCGACCACCGAAATAGAAATGATATCCTGTGCAGCCACGGAGAGCCCGAGGCGGGCCGCGAACGACACGCGCCTGCGCCTGCGCGAGGTGGCGGCGCTGGCGCTGGCCGCGCTGCGCGAGCACTCGCGCGTGCTGGCGCTGCTGCTGCGGGCGCACTCGCTGCGGGCGCTGCCCGGCGCGCTCGCCTACGCCTGACGGCCGAGCTGAGCGACGGCCGCGTCTAGAACGTTGCGTCGGCGCCAGCACGCGCTGCGCTGTGCGTGTTCGGGGAGGTCTTCTGTATTGATCATTCTTTATTGCGATGAGCGTTTTCTTCTTCTGGCCACGTTATCTACGCAGTATTGGGGGACAGTTTTGCAGTAACGGAATTTTGAGAGTATCTGTGCTGATGAGGTATCCGCGACGAACGACGTGGTGTCGTCGCATGGGTATCTACTTATTTTACAAATAATACCAATCAACTGAACATAGAAACAACAAATATCATGAGACAATTATAGTCTTCCCGTCAATGACATTAATGTCTCCGACGTCAAACCCCGATTATTACCTTAGAGGAGGAAAAAATTATTACTCACAAAACACAATATACATATTTTTGGACGAAACAAATTGCCAATCTGTAAAACAGCACTAGGTACCACATACACTTTAGCAAATATACTGGTACCTATATATTTAAAAACAAGTGGAAAACTTCTATGAAACTCCAATTGTAAATAAAAAAAATAATTGACGCGTAAACAAAAAATAATTTGTATACAATAATTTGAACTTATACTAAAATCAGTGAATGTTCGTTAAATTGTCTTATTCGCACCGTTTCGCCTCGCATCTGTGAACTAAAAAAAACCTAAAATTTCTTTAAACTTAAAATTTTATTTATTTAATTTAAATTTCTTTTGCTCTAATGTAAAATACTACTATTAAGTATGTTTAAGGTGTAAAGTAGTAATTATTTTGTTCAATATCAAAATCAATTCTCGCAATAAAAAAAAAACAATGATATCAACTATTAACTAACTCTGCCTGTACTAAGTCCTTTCTGGATTTTGTGTGTGTTTTGCAGAGGTAACCTAACAATCAATTAGATCAAAATCATACTGTCAATTTTACAAATATTATTTTTTTATAATATGTAATGTATAACATGTAAATGGTTTCATCATATGAATCGAATAGCCCGCGAAAGCGGGAATAAACCAATTTAAATGTTATTCGGCACATAATAACAACTAAAATCGTCTGCACGAAACAATAATAAAATTATAAATTAACCATTTCAAAAAGCTTGAAATAGTTATTTATTTAAACTCATTATTTTTACCGCCGACCACTGTTTCCAGTTTTTCATTGGCCCTTCGCCCATACTATTTAAAATTTCGGCGACTCTCTGCCTCATCCTCCGTGAATACTCCCGAGCTTGGGCGGATTTGTTGTAGCTTATAGCTACGTCCCTGTGACCATCTAAAAAGTCGCATAAAGCGTCCGTAGGTCACATGGCGCCGTATTCTGGAAGAATGCCCTTCGTCACAATTACTGAAAATAATACAATGCGTAGGTAGTTGCAACTTGAATGTTAAGTTCATTGAATTTTATACCATTATCAGAGAACAAATAAGTAATCCATTATCGCAGCAAATCAGGATACTTACACCACAATAAAACACTCCACCAGCAGCAAAAAGCACAAGAAAACAATTTAATTGACAACAATATCAAGAAATAACTTTTAGTTAGCGCGCAATTTGATTTTAGCGCAAAAATCTACGAATACAAGATACGTTCTAATTATGTCTATGTAAATTACAGACTTACCTCACTCATTTCAATGATAATGACTAGACATGTAATTTTGTATTACGACAAATTGTAAAGTATGATTGAAAAGTTGTCGATATTACAAAACAATGTACTATGTATAATCAATAATAAAATATAATTATTCTCATTTTGAACACAATTGGTTAATAGTGCTTGAACGCACCCAGGATAGTATATCTGTCTATTTCTTACCTAAGATTTAGTATGTGGTTTCATCTCACTCTTGTTAGGGCGCGTTCCCACTATGTCGTCACGTTTTATCATCGTTGGACGACTGTCGTGTCTAGCCTGTTTCCATATCACGACTATCTGTTGTGGACGATATTTTATCGTTGAACGACTGTCGTGACTAGCTGTTCCCACTAGATCGTGACGACAATTTATCGTTTCACGACAGCCTCCTTGTCGTTTGCATGACAGAATCGATTGATGCACTACAGTCGCCTGTATGTTCTTTTGGAAGCCGGTAGTGTGTGTTCGTTCGAAATGGATGAAGACGAAATTTTAATAATGTATTACTTTTTAAAAATGCGGAAGAGGAAGCAAACAAAGAAAAGAAAGTTTTGAGTACATCCAATGCTACTAAAAAGAATTCCGTTCGGGTTATGTCAAAAGGTATACGAAGTTGCTTTCTTTTCGGTATTGTCAAAACCTGGGGTCTACTCTCGATCTCCGTCCGAAACAATTACTGCCAAATAAGCAATACTTGACCAAATGAAAAGACGCGTGATGCGAGTGAAGCTTCATACTTGATACTTGTCTTTTAATTTTGTCGAATATTACTTATTTGATAGTAATTGTTTCGGACGGAGATCGAGAGTAGACCCCCTGCTATGACCAGAGATGGGCAGTGGGTTAAAACCCAATCAACCCGCCCGTGTTTTCACCAGGGTTTTACCCGAAGCGCCGAGTTTTAACCCATTTCTGCCCAATATCGTGGGCAAAAACGAAGGGTACCGAATTTGGTATAATTCCAACACTAACAACATAATATACAATAACTTGTAACATATTTCTATATTTTATTACATGAAGAAGAGGCATCTCCACATAATACCCACCACCTGTCAATCCTGTTGATTCTCAATGAAGATCGATTCAAGTGCATACGATCTAACGATTTTTTATATCAATTTATTGATGAACTTTTCAAGCGAATCTTTTCAATAGAAAGTTAAATCGAACTGTCCTGATAATAAAGCAACAAAAATTTTGTAATAATATGTATAATTAAATTAATTAATTTTTTATTGAATTGATATTCAATTATTTTTTGTGAAATTACTCCACTAGTTTGTTATAATTATTAATACAAAGATCGAAGACTCAGAAAAAATTCCTTCGATCCGGTCGGATTCGAACCGAGCGACGTCTTTTTGCATACCGTGCCAGACGCTATACCAACTAAGCCACGGAACGAACCAACGGACCTCACGAATTTTTCTGTGCTTGCGTCGCGTCTTTGTATTTGGTTTTTCAACGACTTTTTAGTCGTAGCGCCATCTATGAGAAATCTATGACAGATTTATCACCCAGTTAGTACCTTTACCTGGTAGCTACCAGTCCTGGCGAGAGATGTCGCTATTCACTGTATTAATTAAATTTTTATTGAATTGATATTCAATTATTTTTTGTGAAATTACTCCACTAGTTTGTTATAATTATTAATACAAAGATCGAACACTCAGAAAAAATTCCTTCGATGTATAATTAAATTTGAACAAAACTCAATTCACAACCACAAAAAGGGTTCGGTGTTAGACACCACAGTGAACAGACGTCTTTACGCTAACTGTCCGAACATAACCAGTGATAAGACCTCCATCTTACGGTGTTTGCGTGTAGTTATCGTGTCAGTGTCGTTGGTCTTCCTCGTTTCTGGCCGACCAACTAGTAAGACCTTTCGCATATGGACCGCAACCCGTGTGATCGGTGTCTCGCACGATTGGTTTTTGCAATTGTCTACAAGTGTCTAGTGTCATCATCGGTAACTCCTTGTCGCACTTACGCACTGGGACCGTAAGGTGCTCCCCTAGCGGGTTTAGAGCGAGACAATACATTGCGCCTCGTCAGTGACGTCTACAGAGGGGACCTCTACAACTTGGCAAGAGCTACAAGCTACGATCGGCTGCGTACTTACGGGGAAGCTAAGCCGCTACAATTCTGCACCTATGCGAATTTACTCAGTGTCGTAACTGCATAGGATTCGTGGAAGAAAGGGGAGAGGTGAGAAAATTCTGTTGTATACACTATCCATCACATACTCCTCGTGTCGGCACAGCAGTACCTCTTCTACATATTTCCTGAGAGCATTGTGAACATAGCACGCAAAGATGAGGAACTGCGCGGGTTGTAATCAACACATTAACATAGGTGAACTACTAGAGTGTTGCAAATGTAGGGGCAGGTTTCACTATACGTGTGTAAATATTACAAAAACACACTTTGTGACCCATAAACAGGATCTCGAGCGCACCTGGATATGCCCAGAGTGTGGACTTATTACCCGACGCGTACCAAAAAATGACCACACTCCTATTCGAACCCATATGACTCCTTCAATGGTGGATGATACAGTGGGATTGATTGATGATTCGCTTCGTGTTGAATCGGAAAACCATGGGAACTTACCCCGCACCGTCCTTCCAACATGTAACGCAGCCGCTGGTGCCATATCGATTGAGACGATCCTCGTTGAATTGCGCGAGTTCCGCTCACTGGTCACAGCTCATTTCAAAAAGCAAGATGCTCGACTGGACATGTTCACAAACGACATTAAAGACCTTCAAATGTGTTTTAAGAACCTCCATCAGAGTTGTTCTTCTCTGAAATCAGAGTTCGATGAATTGACTGCAACAGTGCAGAATTTAACAGAGGAAAACAACTCCTTCAGAACCATAACCGAACGCTATGACAAGCGATTACGCCAGCTCGAATCGGCAACTTCTTCTATAGAGCAGAATTTGGCTGCTACCAGAATACGCGTGGATGCAGTTGAGGGCGGAGCCGTGAGTATTACATGTCCGACGGTTACCAAAACGGATAAACAAACAACACAAGTTGCGCGCAGTAGTTGTAACGAAGCCACATACTCCGCGCCCGTTCACATCCTCGAGGAATCTCGTGATCATCAGGCTGAAACTTGTGATAGTCTTCATAGTGCGCCGGCGAGAGAACATCAGAGGCGTCGTGCATCGCGCATCCGCCGTTCTGTAATAAAAGCTACGGGTGAGGCTGACGCGGAACTAAGACCCAGTGAGCCTGTAAAATACATCCACATATGGAATCTTCACGTTAGTACCACCGCGGAGAACGTCCTGTCGTATATGAGGAAGAAAATTGAAGGAAACACATTTACGGCGAATGCACCTCCACAGTCTCACGAATCGCATAAGTGTTTCATTGTTGGTGTTCCGGCGGAGCACTTTGCATATTTCATGTCACCAGCTAACTGGCCTAAGAATGTATCGCTACAAGAATGGTTTATGTACAGAAATAGACGAACCCATGCGAGCACCTCCTCCGGTAGAACATTTTTTCGCCAAAAAAGTAAAGAAACCATTCCATAAGGTAGAACTTTATTACCAAAACGTGAGGGGTCTCAACGGAAAGAAAGACAAAGTCAAAAATACATTAGCAACATTTCCAAGTGACTTACTGTCGTTAAGCGAGACTCGACTGAATGACTCAGTACACGACTCCGAAGTGTTTCCGCCTGGATGGAATGTCGTACGATGCGACCGCTGCTTGCGTGGAGGTGGAGGAGTCCTGCTTGCGGCGCGCACTCCCTATGTGCTCCGCCCCCTACAGTGTGATGCTGATCCCTATGATGAACATGAGATGGTTTGTGCGATGGTATCTAAGGGGTCAGTGCGTTTTGTCTGTTGTGTGGTGTATTTGCATCCTCGAGTGCCTGTATCTTCGTATTATGCTGTATTCAATTGTATTGAAAAATTGTTACAAAAATATTACGATCTACCTATGATCGTTGTTGGC